CTAAATTTAGGCCTTAAATTTGATGCCAGAACTCAGAGCCTAGAAACCCTGTAGAGCTTATGGGGACCTCAGCAGGGACAGCTGGAGCACCAAAGTTCCCCTGACCACGTTCAGATCTCGAACTCCAGACCTTGCATTGTTTACCTGTGCTTGCACAATATTCTTAAACCCTTCACTTCCGGTTAGTCAGGCTCCTCTTAACATCAGATGATGATTTTTGAACTGCCAGAGGGCTCAAGTGAGGCAGAGCACACTCCTGTGCAAGGTATGTTAATGCCTGTGTACAGCTTTTTTAGGGAAATTCCAAAAACAAGCAAAACAAACTAAGACAATAGGATCACATCTGGTATGGAGATGTTTCTTTTGCCATTGTGTTGATGCGAGGTTTTAGTTTTTAATTGTGTACAAATTGCAGAACTTCTCTGTTTCTTTTTTTTTTCCCCCCTAATGCAACCAATTTAAATCTAAGTGTGGTTTCTACCATATGCTTGTTTCAACCATATTTGCAGTTAAAAAAAAAATATTTCCAAAACATAAGAGTTCAGGGAAAATACACTGTTAACCATGAATCTGTGTAGATACTCATTTTTGAGGGTGATGCTAGCAAAAGGAAAAGATTGATCTGCAGTTGAAACTAAGTGATAGCGTTTAAGTAAGGAAAACTGCAGGACTTCATCTCATCAGCTTTGTCAAAGAGTATGTATTGTGAATAAGGCGGACACATCCACGTGTGCTTAGAAGGTGCTGTGATACCATAGTAAAAGGTGCATGGCACAGATTTTAGAAGAAGGGGAAGCACACCCTGAAGCGATTGAGGTAAAAAGCTGCCACCATGAGAAAAATTTTAGTCTTGAATGTGTGTTTGAATTTTTTTGTCTGTAAACTCGTAATGCAATACTGCAAAACAAGGACGACTATTTTTTAAAACTGAGTTCCTAAGTTTAGAATACAAAGTGCTGCTCTGGACAAAATAGTAGTGTTTGTAAAAAAAAAAATGTGTTTCTATGAGCAACTTGGTATGCAGGAAGGAGTTTCTCTGTGTCTCATCATTCAGAGGAAGATGAATTTTGTGTTTGAGCTTACACTGGTTGTTATAAATGTTCAGCACAAGTGCAAAGCGTGAGTAGAATAACATGGAAACACGCCATGACAAAAGGAAAGAAGTAAGGAAAAAGGCAATGTTCCGTTTCCTGACAGAAGAAAATGTATGACAGAATCTCTTAAGAAAATGTGTATAATTGTCTATAGCATGTCTGTAATAAATAGTATTGGTGATGGGTTTTCTTTACATTTTATTCACATCTAAGGAAGATGGTGATGAACAAATTGAAGATATGTCTGTATAATGGATGTGGTTTAGCTCCTGAGTCAGGCTGAGTTCTGGGCAGTGGGATTTGGGAAGGTTTCTCTCTGGAGTGCAAGCGAGCAGGCTTGCGTTCAAGAGACCTGAGTATGCAGTACAGAGGAGGCAGAGGAAGGCTGGAAAAAGAAAGGAGCCCATGGGAGAAGTGCAGGCTGGAATGCTGTTCTTATGGCAGGGAGCAGCCTGAGCCGCAGAGGAGATGGAGGAGAGTGTGTCAGCTCAGGGAGCTGCTGAGAATTGCTGTCTTGTGAAAGGTAAGGGACTCTCTCTGCTAAGGAGGAAAGTACCACTTCTTCTCAAATCTGTAATCCGACCTTCCTGTTTGGTGTGTTTTCTCTTATCAGAGACACTACCTTGGTTCAATTTATTATTGTCTAATAAAAGATTGGGTTTGTGTTTTTGTGGTGTGTGCGTGTAAAACAATAAGAGCCAGATGGACTAGTTTTGTGTAATTTTAGCTAAAGACTTCAGCTGACTTGTTCGCAGAGATGTTATGATGTGTGATATTTCTGTACAAGAAATTGTTAGATGTCTGTAAATACATATTACAAAACATGAAGAAAATAGACTTTGGTTTTCTTTTCAAGAAGAAAATGATGTGTAGGACCCTAAAATTTGCAGCATATTGGGAGAAAAGAGAAAGCATTATAGACAATAGCAAAAAAATCCAGTTGTTTTTGTGCAAGTAGGGAAGCATTCCAGATGAGCACCATAAATTTCATAGTCTCATGGCAATAAGCAAAAACTTGCAAGAATAAAAAGAGAGCAAATAGCTGCAGGGCCATCTTCCCAGACTGGAAGACAGTATTCTTTATAATCCTGCTGCTCCTTCAGACTTTGGTTTCAAAGTTTAGACAGCTGTAAATTGAAAATTGAAGATTTAGTTTCTCTGGAAAACAGTGACAGAAAGCAAGTAAAAAGAGATCCCAGTACTGAGGATGGAGAATGGAGTAAAATCAGCATCTTGCAACAGTCAACACAGAGAGCGAAGAGAAGTGCTGAAGTGGCGTGAGACAGGAGACATCTTCTTTCACCTGCTGAGGCTGCTGGGAGGCCCTGGAACACATGGGGGTCCTGTCTCCCAGCAGTCACGGTGATAGGTCCTTCATCCTTTTCTCAGCCAGAGGAATGGGAAAGAAATGAGCAGTTGGTTGTAGAAGACAACTCAATTTCAAAGTGTTGGCTTTGGGAGGAGGAGGGGGCTTGATATAAGTGATTTTTGTTTTATAGGGGGTCACTTGTCCCCCTCTATTCCATCTTTGGCCTCTTCAGTTGACTGTGGGGAATTTTTTGTACCCTCTTTGAGTTACTGTGGATTTCTCATTGTGGAAAAGGAAGGACAGAAACAAGGAAAGGGGCTGGAATGGTGGCCTTGAAGAGTGTAAGGAACAGTGTGGTCATTGAGTTGTGTAAGTTTTACAAATAAAAGTACCAATGCAGAGGGTTTTCAGGTAGTTTAGCAAGAGCATTTCTCTGTACTTTTCATGTTTATGTCAAAAGGAGTTGGAGACTAAATTATATAGAATCACACAAAGATGTCTCAGCATCTGTTTTCAAACTATTGTATTGAGGAGAAACTAAAAACTGGATACAGACCACCAGAAACATTTTGGTCATGTACAGAAAAATGTATTTTAATGAATAAGCGTTTATCTCAAAGAACAGAGTAACTTAAAAATCCAGTGCTTCTTGGATTTAGCTTTTATATACCTTCTCATCAAGTGTGCCTGGAGAGGAAACAAATTTCTCTTAAGCTTCATGTGAAGAACAGGAATATTTGAGTGGAGAGATTTGGTTCATTTTGACATACTGACACATTGGGAAAATCACACAAAATGAATAAGTTTGGTGATCAGACCCTTTGTGCAAAACCTCCTTGCAAAAACACGCATAGCTCTTGGTGCAAAGATGGTCATCACTTGGTACAAAAAACAATATTCACCTTCTGATTTTTAAGCATTCCCTCAATACCAGGACACAAATTTAAGCCTTACTTTTGCTTTTCTTACTGATTTCCTGCAGAAGTAAGCGCAGAAGGGATTACCTGCATATAAAAAACTGTTGCTCACTATGAGGAAGAGTAAGGTCACTGGATTCTCTGGTTGTTCCTCAGCATCAGGTGCTGATATTTATTCCAATTGTAATGACAAAGATGTGCTGAAAGTGAATGTGGTACAGTCACTCCAGCTTTGTTAGCATCTAATGAGGAAACTGTTGCATGTTCAAACTCCTTTTATAGATCTAGTAATTATGGCTGTCATCAGCCCCAGCCACTATAATTAGTATTATAACTGACAGCTATAATCTTAATTTCACTCACTTGAAACATTTGAAGAATTACTGTCTTAGACCAATATTCTATTTTTTTTTTTTTTTTTTTTTGGTTTTGCTTATAAATTAATTACTTTGGAAAGGCTTGTAGGAAAAAAAAGAAGTGCTTTTTTTTAAAATTTTCTTTAGGAATATGAGAAAGGAACTTTTCACATTATCCAAAATATGTTTTCCCTCTCAGCCCACCTGGAAGTTTTGCAAAGGGTGTTCTGTAGTGTACTGTGTTAACTGGACGGCTGTGTTGCTAGAAGCTGCTGACTGGTCTTTGAGGTTATTCCAGAAAGCACAGCAATAGACCTGAATAGTTGGTGAGTCTAACTGAAGATGCCTACAAGTGGAAGCTGTTTAGTCTCTATAACTCTTCTCAAACCACTGCAACTGCCCGTGTCTGTTCCCTGGCAATCCTGGCAGCCAGTAGTGGGAGACAGATCTGCTGTGAATGAAACTTCTTCCCCCTCTTTATATCTGTATTTAGGCTATTTCTGCGGAGCCAGCCCAAGGCATGTTAAATAGTAAATGAAGTTACTGTAGGGAGTTATCCTTCAGCTGCCTCTTGTGCCTGATCTGTCATTTATATGCCTCAGGCTGGGGCAGCACAGAGGTGTAGTGGTGATGATGGACTATTGCATCTTGTGCACTTATGGAGATAGAATTTATGATTATATATATGGTCATGCCATAGTCAAAGTGACCTTCTATACAGGTGAAGTGTGGGCTTGTGTAATTGGTATGTGGAAGACAAGCAGTTGCTCATTACAACCCTTGGACATACACCAGGAGAAACCAAGGAAGAGTTGAAGGTGAGATTGTGGCGTCCCAGTTCGGTGGATTAATGCAGAATAGCACAATGTCCTTAGTGGGGAGTGAAAGTCTTTAGTCCACGTTCTGGTTGAGTAACCACTACCAGTTGTAAGGACCAACAACAGTAGCTAGTTCTTCCTGTGTTCACAGTTATTCCTCAGACCAACCTTATGATTTCCCTGGCAAAACTTGATGGTACATGTGGTCACAGATACGTGCAACTACTTGTGACCTTCTCTGAGAAGGTACATTTTTCTCCTGTTTGTCAACAGTTTTTATCTAACTTAGCAAGTCTGTATAGCAGCGCTTAAAAGCGTTATCGTTTCTCTAGCTTAGTAAATACTAAATGGCACAACCCTATCAAATCTAGCCATTTAACAGGTGGATATTACCACAGACAAGCTTATATTCAAGTGCTGCACACATATCTTATTTAAACCGCAAGAAGTTTTCCCTTGTGCTTATTTAGCATCCTTGAACCATTGCATTTTATTTTGTCTTGTAGGAACACCACTTCTAGTGCGAAGGAGCAGTGATCCAGCTTTGGGCGCACCTGCTGATTTCCCAAGTGCTTCTCATCCCAGTGACCACAGCCTCAAGCATGTCGTGGCAGTAGGTGTCATGCAACTCACCTTTTTCTTAAGACCTAAAAGCTTTTCTTATCTGTTGGTATATAGTAGTTTTATAAGCTGAATTTGGATCAATAACAAAATGCATCATACCTGTTTTCTGTAAAGGAGGTAATTTCCTCTGGAAAAAAATCATTATTTCACATGGTACAATCAATTAGCAGTGATACTGCTAGTCTCTAAAGAGATTTACATAATGTTGAATGGGGACATAAGGCCCTGGAATATGAATTGAACTTTTAGGAATTTTTTTGTTTGTTCAGGATTTTATTGTCCAGTTTGCTGTTGCATCTTTGTTCTTGCACCCTTTTTCTCATGGCATTTCTGTCATCTTTGATACCCAGGCTTTTCTTCATCTCACTTTCCTGTTTTGACACCTGACTCTTCCCTTTCGAGGGCAAATTTGTTTATTTCAATATAGTTACTACTAAATATTATTGCAAAGCCATAATTAGTGAGGAGGTGGTAATTCTTAACCAGATGTTTTTGCAGGCTGTCTTCAATCTTCTAAAAGTGATGCTGTCTTGGTCACATTTGGGCCACATGTTTCACTTTGTAGTTTTAAGATGTAAAGCTTTCTGTTTGTGTGTGGAAAAGGTGTTCCTACATTACATATAAAAAGATGAAATTCTTTAGAGCCTCTGAATGACAGCTGGGACACGTAAGTGTATCAGGCAGAATAGAGCTATTTTTTGGTGTTTGCCTAGAAAGCTCTGGTGAGTCTACTGCTCTACTAAAGGCCACATGAATGCTGGCTTAAATTATAGTGCTGCATTCATTTGCTTGTGAAATTTATGCCTTTTCCCCTTTAACTTCTCTATACAGAGTTGTAGTTGACTCCCTGTGCCCAGCTGTGCAAAGCAATCTGTCACTGTTTTGTTTCAAAACAAAACCAAAAAGACTCAGAACCCCCCAGTCTCTTCATTTGGTGCAAGGGAGATATTTCAGCACAGATCACAACTAGTTCATAGCAGGGTGCCACAAATGGCTGTGTTGGCACATTAGGGAGTAGGAGGAGAGAACTGGAGTTCAGGGATACATGCTGGAGGTGGGAACCTTTCAGCTGAAGGTGTATGTAAGACAGTATTTCCAGTTAAGTTCATGTGAATAAAGGCAGTAAATACCAAGTCAGTTGACTTGCACATTAATGCTGTTATGTGGGTCTCAGTCTAACATTGTGATTCTGAAGGCCAACAGAGGATTTTAGTTGGCTGTTCATTGTTTCTCTTTGCATGGCCAAATGCACGTGCGCCTAAATTTTTTGCATGCACTTTCTTTTACAGTGGCTTGTGTTATTTGCTAAGTGGTGCAATTTTAATAGTCCTAGTGACTCTCCAGTACATTATGATGTTAAAGGGGGCTGAACTTTGTCAAAGTCCTGCATCATTTGTCAGATTTGTTTGAGCTGAGAGGTTTTTCATGATGTTTACTGCAATCATTTACATATTAATGAAATACTGACTTAGTCTGATAAATGAAAGTACAAGGAGTACTTTGTTAACAGTGCAGATCGTACACGCTTTACAAAGTTGAGAAATATATGTAGTATTTCAGTATGGGATGCTGTGGTATTTTATAACCATCAAAATGGAAAAAAAGTGGAAAAAAAAGTGAAATCTGTTTCATTCCAGGACATGTTTTGAATGCTTTATATTTGACCATCGAGGAGAGAAAGATAGCGTTTTGTTGAGTTGGTTTTCTTAGTATAATTTTAGTGGTGACAAGTGCATTTTATACCATTACATGAAAATTGCAGTAATACTTGGAGGTTAAAACCTCACATGCTTCACTGACTTGCATCAGTACACAGGAATCCTCTAGGCCTAAAGGAATTCTCTATGTCTAAAATACAGAGCATCCCTCTATCAGCTATAGGGGTGACAGTCAAAGCCAGACACATAGCAGGGGTGGAGATGAACTTTTTTTCATTTTACATATCATGTAAGGGCTGGGAGGAAAGGCCCAGAAGGTTGAAAGTTTTTTGGGGTTTGAGGTTTTTTTTGGGGGGGGGGGTTGGTGTTTTGTTTGTTTTTGGTTTTGTTTTTTTTAAGTGAAAATCAGTTACAGAAAAATACATTATACCAGCTCTTATTTTTGCAACAGTACCATTTCTAAAACTCTGACCGTAAATCATACTGAAATATGCTTTGGCATAATATTCTGGGAATCACAGAAAGCTTAAATAACATAGGTTATATTAGCTACAGATTGTTTTAAAACATACAGAAAAATCAATATCTGACAAATGAAAAAACATGGCACAAACTACTGAACCCTGCTTTTTGAATATAGCTGTGCTCTTTCACGCAAGTGTTAAAGCAGTATTTAGAGAAAATTCATTTGTTCTGTACATTGCTGCTGGAAATTTAAAATTACTACTGCATTTCCTTTGTCACAGAACAGTGGTTTTTTCACATTAAACCACTTCCTTGCGGTCACATTCAAGATAGAAAACCCAGAGCTGTTGGTAGATGAAACATTTTTCAGTGCATGTAGTGAAAATTAAGTCTCTGTATTTGTGCCACAATTATCTTAGCAATTATTTTGTAATTGAAACTGACTTTCATAATTAGCTTAACTGTTCTGGCACTTGTGGTTCTTTGGTGTTTGGCACACGTGGAACCGGCAGTTCAGGTCTATGTAGAAACACCTGTAGTTGGATGATGTGCTGTCATACAGTGTGTACTGATACACCAGTAGCTGATCAGATTTTTGAGAGGTGACTGCCATGTGGTTTTCTGAAGACAGCACTGATTTGCCTCTAGGAAAGTGCAGTTCAGGCGTGAGATAACTAATGCATGAAATAAAACAGCAAACATGCAGTAATACAAGAGAAGAACATTGCTATCCCATTCAGGCGAACTGGTTGAACCTGGTGAACCATTTGTGTTGTTCACAGTATTTATGGCATTAAGCAGAGCATGCATTCTGTTTTTCAGATGCTGTCCTGTTTATTCAAAGAAAGGTGGTTTTTTTTTAATGCCATATAATGATTGCTGAAATAACAAAACCTTTTCTGAGTGACCAGGTAATTTGAGAAGAATTTGGTCTATTCTTTCATATTTTCCCTGACACCTATTCTGTCTTAGCTGTAGTTTTAGCCCCAATTAACAAAATACTTCCAGATCAATCAAAAACTGATAGTGAAGTCCAGCATCTGTTCTATCAGACTGGAAGTCATTTAACAGATGGTACAAAATTTGAGTTTCTTTTTTCATCCAAACCTCTCTTTCCTTATTGTGATAGCTGCCACTGAAAAATTTAGAGACTGTAATCAGGGGAAATAGGGATAACAAACATCTGAATTTGTTATTGAAGAAAAAGTATTTGTTAGTGAATTTTTTATTTTATGAAGGCAGCTGTTTAGCTGCCTAGTTAGAATCACAGAACCCTGTTTTTTGAAGTTTTTAGGGAATAGAATACATTTTGCTGCTTCTGCTCAGTCCAGTTTATCCAGGTAGTAATTGCTAATGTATAATTAAAACATCTGAACTTTTTTTTCTGGAGCTGTGACTTCTACTTGTCTTTCTTTTTGCCCAGGGACAGACATACCTACTATTGTAAGACTTGATCGTGAGTTTGAGATGGAGGATTGTGATCCTATTTGAGATGATGGGAATTTTGCATTAATTATGGTGGGACTAAAGTTTCTCCCCCTCTTGTTAACTTGCTGATTATTATGGGTATGCTGTGTTCCGCATGACTTTCTTTTATACCTGCCTGTTTTCTGAATAAATACTTAGGTTATCTTGGAGTTAATCAATGAGACTGGCTGATTAAATTGTATTTATCCATATTTAAAGATACAATGAGATGCTGGATCAATTGAAGAGCTACTCCAGTGGCTCAATACAATTTCAATTTTTGCCTAGACGTGACTTGAAATTGACTGTATTTTATGCATTGTGGACATGTAATTTGCAATTTTGAATAAGGTTCATATATAATCAGAACATTTTTATGTCTCAAGCCCTTGTTAAAAAGGGTCAAAACCTCCTCTTAGTTCTTCTGGCTGTTAATTGTGCTTGTGGTGTATTAGCCTTCCTGATTAAGAGTCTGTGAATTAGCATAATGTCCACATGGGTAAGGATGCAGCTCCATGATTTGTTCCTTTTCTGTATGGTATTATATACATATGTAAACATAAAGGTATGCTGCAGAGTTTGGCTATGAGATAAAGATTATGAGTAGTACTTTCAAAGTGTTTGGGTATTTTAAGAAAAAACCAGAAATATTAGTTAATCTAATCACGCTATTCAAAAGTAGAGCATGTTTTGGCACAATGGTGGAATAGTTCTATAGAGTTTATAGCTTGGGTTGATTGGGCAGGCTTCTGCTAAGACTTGAGTTAAAAGGCTGCACTACCATAAGGATTGTATTGCCTTCATTCTAGAAGGTAGAACTTTTGTCCAGTATGTTCACTGGACTAGGTCAGGTATTTTACTTTCTGCATGTGGTAGAATTTCAATTTGAAATTCTCCCATAGATATGAGATAGAATCATAGAGCAGTTTGGTTAGAAGGGGCCTTCGAGGGTTATCTATTTTCAGCCCTTCTGCAGTAAGCAGGGACATTTTCCATTAGATTAGGTTGCTCAGAGCCTCATTCAACCTTGAACATCTCCAGGGATGGGGCATCCACAACTTCTCTGGCCAACCTGTTCCAGTGTCTCACCACCCGCACAGTAAAGAATTTCTTCTTCCTATCTAACCTAAATTTTTCCTCTTGCAGTTTAAACCCATCTAGCCTGACCTTGAATGTTTCCTGGGATGGAGTATCTCCCACCTCTCTGGGCAGCCAGTGCTTCACCACCTACACTGTAAAAAACTTCTTCCTTGTATCTTGTCTAAATCTACCCTCTTTTATTTTGAAACCATTACCCACTGCCCTATCACAACAGGCCCCACTGAAAAGTCTGTCCCCATCTTTCTTAAAAGCCCTCTTTAAATATTGCAGAAGGTGGGCTCTGAGAAGGAAATGAGAT